GCGCAGATTCATTCCAAAAAGAGGATAGGCTTGCACTATCGCGTCTCAATGATCTAGTGTACATTAAGTACAATAGAACATTGAAACGTCGTTATGTGATCTCATTGATCCAATTCGCTTGGATAACATTGATGATTCAAATGAATGGTTAGTTGGATTCCCCGAATATCAAGAAGATGAACTAGTATATGAGGATGATGATTTACTTGGGGTAGTGTTGCTACGGCAATTGGAGTTGATGAGAGTATCTATCCTCTTAAGGGACTTTCTTCAAGATCAAGTGCACTTGACAAGGGCAAAGGAGTAGAAACTACATCTACAAGTTCAACTTCAAGTAGGACTCGAACACTAATTGATGAAGACTATGAGGAGGAAGAAGATGAGGAGCAATATAATGATGTAGAGGATGTTGATCTTCAAGAGTTGGATAGTTTTGAAGAAGAATAGACTTTTAGAGTTCTAGTATTGTCTTTTGAATTATTGGGTCTTTAAAGTTCTAGACTTTTAGTTTTTGAATTGAAATATTTGCTAATATATGTTATTGACTTATTGCTATTGAGATTTTGGATATTTATATATGCAATTAAATATTTTTAATTTTTGGTATTAATTGGAGCCTCGATTCAAAAAGGCGAGCGCCTCGCCGCTCGCCTTGCCGCGTGGCAGGCCCTTGTCGCCTCTCGCCGTCCAAAACATTGCCCTACCCATATAATTTATCTTTTCCAGTAGGGTCGTGCCATCATTTTGACCCTACCCATATTATTTCTCTTTTTCAATAGGATCGTGTCGTCAATCTGACTTTTCCTATATAATTTTTATTCTCCAGTTAGGTCGTGCCATCATTCCAACCCTACCTATATAATTTTAATTTTAAGATTGTGACCACTTTCAGCCATCAAATCTAACAGTGACTTTCTTATTTAATATCGACTCGTCTATTGATTCCAACACGATCCATATACTTTATACTAGATTTTGAACACTTTTCGGCAACTATTGCATTGTGAAAAGGTCAGTCTACTTGTATGTCGATTACGTAAGTCACTCTATGGTCTGAAATAGCCTGTGCAAGCTTGGTTTGGGAAGTTCAACACTGTAATTTTATCACTCTGTGTTTTATCGACATTATGCTCAAATCTAATATTTCATGAGAAGACTACGCACATTGAGATTGACTGTCAATTTTGTGAAGTCGAGTGATCAACCTACAGATATCTCTCTAAGCCCCTCAACCCCTCATCGGTCCTCGTATTAATTACATTTGTAACAAGCTAGGTACATATGATTTGTATGTACTAGCTTGAGGGGGAGTGTTAGAATAGAAATAGGTATATACAATCCTACTTGGTAAAGGATTATATTGTAGTGTCTATAGATAGGGTCTCTTTGTAATAATGTAGATAACAACACAACTCAATAATATTCTTCTCTTATATTTCTCACAGAGGTTTCTTTAGGACTCAATGGGTGAAGAAGGACCCATTGATGAAGTTTCCACATACCTTGATAGAAACCCTAGGTGAAATTAGAGAAGACTTGGACCTTTGGAATCCTTGTTCATGCCTTGGGAGAGAAGCTTCGGGGAGAAGAATTTGATTTTGAGTGAATGAGAGAATAAGGAGGTTAGGGGTCTTAAGAATCAGTTATAGTCTCCAAAATAATCCCAAAACGACATAGTATAGGAATTAAAAGAGTAGGAAAAGACCCAACTACCCCTGAAGTTGGCTTCCACGGACCGTGAAAGCTTATATGGTCCGTGAACTTCTCTCGTGGAAGTAAATGTTGCAAACTTCAGCAACTTTCTACACTTTTCTGATTTATCTGAGTTAGGCACTTCCGAGGTGTTACAAGGGATGAGCCAAGTTAAGAAGTCAAAGTTTGCATTGCTCAGTAGGCAATAAGAGCATTTTTAGATGAATAAATGATAAACTCTTCAAGAGATATTGAATAGATTAATTGACATCAGTAATGAATTGAACTCTCCTGGAGATCATCCCTTGAAGGAAGAAGATTGAAAAATTTCTAGATATCTTGCATGACTCTTGGGAAAGCAAGGTCAATACAATAATGGAGGCAATATTTGGAGACAATGTTATAGATGAAGTCGTGAGAAACTTGAAGACCTTTGAAATGAAGAAATTCCAAAATCAGAAGAATGCTCCACCAAGAAAGGAAGTGAACCTGGTCCTTAAAGCCACCCAGAATCAAGATGTTGATGAAGAAGATATGCTAACCTGGAGGTTCCAAAGGATTATCAGGAGAGAAGGGCTCTAAAACAGAGGTAGCAGCTCAAATTCAAGAGCACCTGATAGGGGGAACTCTGAGGTATGCCACAGATGTGAAGTCCTCACCACTTTATCCAGCAGTGTCCAGAAAGAGAGACTGAGTGGAGAAGGAATGCTCTTGACAAAGAAAACAGGGTTCAAGTTCCTGGAAGCAGGATAACTACTCAAATAGATCAAATAGTAAGGAAAGCACTAGCTTCCATGGAAACTCCTCAAGTGATGATGAGGATGATGATGTTGAAGAGGATAATCAATTCCTACTGACCATGGAAGAACCTGATAATATGATTTAGCCACTGAATATAAAGAATGAAAGGCTACGGTGAGTGAAAACAGAAGCATGTGATATGCCGGTAGTGCTTGTTCTAGACACATGACAAGAGAAAAGGAAATTTTTCTTTCACTAGAAGCCTATCAAGGAGAGAGTGGAATTTGGAAAGCAAAAAAAGACATCATTAGGATTGGAAAAATTGAAAAATCCCACTCCCATGCAATTGAGAATATACATCATGTCAAAGCATTAAAGCACAGCCTATTGAGTGTGTCACGGATGTGTGATAAAGGGAACCAGGTTGTATTCACCTCAGATGACTGTACTGTTAGTCTGTTACAAGTTCCAAAACCAAGAACCTGGTTCTTTGAGGAGGAAGACACCAAAATGTATATACAGTTGACGTCATGGCTCCGTTGAGGAATTAAGCTATAAACTAAGGTGCACATGAGAATGACTCGCTATTATGGCACAAAAGGCTAGGACATGCAAGCTTCTCTCAACTCAACAAGTTGATATCAAGGACTTGGTTCTTGGGTTGCCAAAATCCATGTTATGAAGAAAAGGTGTGTGATGCACGTGCCGGAGGAAAACATGTCAAGTCCTCATTCAAATCAAAGAAGATGGTAAGTACAACCCGACCACTAGAGCTGTTAAACATAGATATGTAGACCTATGAGGGTTCAAAACAGAGGGAGTAAGAGATACATGTTTGTGATTGTTAACAATTATTCCAAGTTCACATGGACATTGTTTCTTGTCTCCAAGGATGAAACATTCAATCTATTCTCAATATCTGTGAAGGAGCTGCAAAGGAAGTTGAATGTTCAAGTGGCTAGCATCATATCTAACCATAGTACTGAATTGAGAATGCTAGTTTTCTAGAATATTGTGGACATCATGGGGATCAATCAAAACTTCTGAGAACCTAAAACTCCACAGCAAGATGGTGTTGTTCAAGGAAGAACAGGACCTTGGAAGACATGGAAAAAACTATGTTCACAGCAAGTAATCTTCCAAAGTAATTTTGTGCTGAAGTTGTGAACATTGCATGCTATATCATCAACAAATGCATGATAGACCTTTGCTAAAGAAGACTCCCTAGGAACTTCTAAAGGGAATCAAGCCAAATTTTACTCATCTTGTAGCTTTTGGGAGCAAGTGTTTTTTCCACAACAATGGAACAAGCTCTAGGAAAGTTTGATGCAACAAGTAACGAAGGAATCTTTATTGGATATTCATCACATAATAAAGCTTACAAGGTATACAACTAGAGGACCTCATATGTTGACGAAAGTGTTCATGTAAATTTTGATGAATCTGACAGCCTGAAGGAGAGAGGAGCACAGGATAATGATGATGATGTTGAAATTGGGATCACACAGAGCTATGATGATAACCATCGCAAGACCTTTAAAAGAATTTGGTTGAAAGGGGATCACATGGGTCACAAAACAAGAACTCGAACAAGATATGAAGTTGACAAGAGGGATAGAATAGGTCAGCAATATTAATGAACCTGGTTCACCTAAATCTCTAGGAGCTGAGCTGAGCAAAGCATCAAACAGTTGCTGAGAGATGAGAGAACTAAAATTTGGAGAAACCGGTTATATGGAACTTGTGTGTGATAATCAAGCGGCCTTTCATGTCACATCAAACTCTGTTTCATGACAGAACTAAGCACATTGAGATTGATTGTCACTTTGTCAGAGAAAAGATACTCTCCAGCAGAGGCGAACCCACATACAAAGTTGGGGGGTGCACATGCACCCACTAACTTCGGAAAAAATCATGTGTATATATGTATATCTAGCTTGAGAAACTGACATAAACTAGGATATAATTATCAGTGTACCCATAAGGAGCATAGGAGTGTCTTTTGTTGCTGGTATAAGCCAGAGGAATCACCCTTGAGACCAGAGTTCAAATCCAGCTAAAACCCTTTTTTGTTGTTTTTATTTTAAGTTTTACTTAGAGCTCATATTGGTACACCCAAAATCTTTAAATCCTAGGTTTGCCTCTGCTCTCAGGAGATATTGTTAAAAAAAAAATTGAAATTAAGTGATCAACTTGCATTAATCTTCACCAAGTCCCTCACCGGTCCTCGTATTAATTACATTTGTAACAAGCTAGGTACATATGATTTGTATGCACCAGCTTGAGGGGGAGTGTTAGAATCAGAATAGGAATATACAATCCTACTTAGAATAGGAATAGAAATAGTATATAGTATACTACTTGGTAAAGGATTGGATTATATTGTATAAATAGGGTCTTTGTGTAAACATATTTTCAGCTCTCTTGTATTATGATAGATTTTATTTTTTCCCTTTCTAGAGCTAACTACCCTACTTTTGTAAATCTTGCATCCTCTGGACACTTTGTTATAATACACTTCTCACTTCATTAAAAAAAGATTTGAGATGGGAATAAGATGGTCAAACCTTTCTTTTCATTGCGCAGAACTTGCAATCTGAGGCTGATGGCGGGAGGATCTGATTAGCAATAAGCCTCTTGACAGGAACATCTTCCATCTTTAAGGAAGCACACAACCTGGACGATTCGCTAATTGCCATAACCTGAAGGGCACATGGTGACTCCCACCGGAAACAGAGTGAGAACCACGAGTCAACAAGCAGATCACTATTTTTCATATGGCAACAAAACCAAGGTATTTAGCACTATAAAAGTCTACACTAATTGTATTTCTCTAACATTTTCTATTTGCAAACTTCTCGTAATCCAAAATGTTAGGTTCAGGCAATTTTTCTGAACTTTAAGACTTGATGTAGTTGACAATTAACTAGGGAGTAGGTTTTTATTTTCTAGGTGGGGTAGTTTAGAGTTTAGTTAGTTCTACTCTGTACAGGAATTTAGCCTCTTTGCCTTGAAATCCTTTTGGATTCGAAAAAATGAAACAAAACATACCAATAGCTAAAAGAATTCATTGAATCTGATATTTCAAGAAGTACACTTCAGTTTTTAAAATTTTTAATTTAAGCTCAAATGTGAGACAAATATAATAGTTGTGTGATGCAAACCTTGGAGACCACGGTTCAAATCTTAGCAGAAACAAAACACACTATAGGTGATTTCTCCCCCTCTTAGAAGTTACCCCGTATACAGTGGTTTCTGCCTTATACTAACAGATCCTAATCAGGCAGATTTAGGAAAACATGCACAACACCAGACAGAAAATATTACCGTGGGGATTGTTACTATGATAAATTCTGTTGAGGTTGTGTCACGAAAAAGCTCTCTTACTTTTATCATCCTCTCCCTTAACCGCTCCAATTTATCTGCCTGCACACATGCAAAATATGTGAGATTGACAAGATTATGCACATGAATACCCAGCAGTACATATTCCTAACTATGTAAAGCTTACAGCATCTGGCTTGGGCGATCCTTCCTGGCCAAAGACAGACTTTATTGCTGAAGTGGCAGAAGCTATCTTCTGTCTCAACTGAAAAAGAGTTTATCCAGAGTAGAACAAAAGTAGATTACAGAGTTAAACCAGGTCAAGAATACTTTAAATATGAATATATGATAACAGGCAGTTGGAAGAGAAAAGGAATTCCAGAGCCTTCCTTCTGTTGCAGAAAGAAACTAGCTGTCCAACTAAGAACCATAAGCCAAAAAGTTGCCTTCATTAAGGAAGAGAAATTTTAAGCAGAAAACAATTTGTAAAGCATAACCAAGGAACCAAGTAGTTGCACACTGGGAACACAATACAGGGAATGATGATGAGAAGCTTTAAGCACAACAAATGAAGGTCTTTCTGCATTCCTTGAGCATTATTATACCTTCCCTAAGCATTAGTATACCTTCCCAATATCATTCACTTTTTTCACACAACAGAACAACTGATCAATAAGTACATGACAGAAGAAAGATGTTGCCTAAAGAGAAAATCCGTCCATATCATGTTTTTGCATTCCTGAAATTTTCTTTTCCAATCAAAAGCAGATATGGAATTGAACAGATCTGCTACCTTCAAAATCTTTCCAATTGATTTATCCAAGAAGTCTGGCAAGGACAAGAGCCGTAGAGTATGTCCCTGAGAGGAAACAATAACTATTAGGAATGTCTTACCAAAACATAGTTTAACGGACATATCATGCCATTCTCACCGTCGGGGCTGTGTCAAACACTATACGAGTAAACATATTATATTCCTGCGAATCAAGGAATTGCATAACCTGGCAAGAAGATCTGTAGCCAGTTAGGTTGAAGGAAAACATTAACACTTTTGATGGGAAATATGACCACAAACTTTAAGTATAAAAAGTTATGGCACCTTTGAAATTGCAATGGCTTCATCTAGACCAGGAGGGGGTGTATCCAGCAGTTCTCCAAGCTTTAGTTCCCCAAGCTTGCACACGCAAGAAGAGGAATAAGTTAGTAGTGAAACAAGTGAAATCAACTCCATTTTGGTCAAGAAAATCGAAGGTCAAAACTGAACACGCAAGTGGCAGAGAGAATCAAACAAAAAAGAAAAGGACTTCAATTTCATTACTTCTCGTAAGTGCAAACCTAAGCTTTATGTGGCTAGCTAAAAGACTTATTTCCCACTTTTATCACTCTTATTAAAGAAGAGAACTCACAGAGATTTGATTTAATTTAGGGAAAAGAATTCTACCTGTTCAGCAAGCACTCCAAGGCCCATACCGTCCATAAAGTCTTTGATACCAGATCCTCCACTTATCTGGGTTGCACTTCGAAATTCTTCCTTGGCCTTTTCAGGATTCAACTGACATATTGACAATAGTATTCAAAATGAGCCTTAAACATGACACTGTTTAATTTAGTACCAAATCCCCAGACACCCCCATCCCTGGCCTCCAGCGAGGAGAACATTGCAATACTGGGTTATTGATTCAACGTTGGATATCACCAAATACAAGTAGGAAGAGGCTTTTCACAACCTCAAGGGCAAATAATGGAGAATACGGGCCTTCAACTGGAACTAGAGTCCCGCCAGCCAAATCCTACAGTCAGAACATGCAGACTGAATGAATCTTGTCACACAAGAAAAAAGTCCAAAAAGGAAAAAGTAATTCAGAGAACTGCCTGAAATGCAATAAAAAAAAAAACACTATCTTATACCTGGGCAAAAGAATCACTTAAGGAATGTGCAGGATCAGTTGAAACTACTAAAGTGGGATGACCATTATTTGCAAATTTTACAGCAAGTGAAGCAGCACAACTTGTCTTCCCAACTCCTCCTTTACCACCTAGCATGTAATACTTACGCTCGGTCCCAGAAACCATTTCATCAAATCCAGCAGGAGAAGCTACTGCTCTCACTGCCATTAGCACAAAGATTTAGCAACATTAACAAGGCCATAATAATTGGCATGGCTAGTGGAGGAAGTGAAACACTCTTGGGTTACCGTTTCTAATTGAATTCTAGTAAAAAAAAAAAAATCTGATTGAGCTTACAAGGAATATATGCCACTCAATATTTAATTACTCGGAGGATGAAAAGATTACAGGGCAGTATACCATATAGACTAGACAAAACATCAAAACTGTCAAATTTGCAACCATATAATGGCTCTTTTACACCACACAGAAATTAAGGACAAATCTTCTCAAATTCATCAGCAGCTACCAGATGGTCAAACTAAAATTGTAATCAGGCTAATATCATCATAACCATCACCCTCATTTTAACGAGTGTAGTCGTATGATTGAATATATCATTGGTTGCATCGTCTTAAACCTGGGGTCTCTCTTCATTCTTATTCATCAGCATTACCTTCAAGCATTTAACTAAAATAAGTGATTAACATCAATCACTTTCAAATTCTTTTTTACCAATTTCATAAATAAATAAAAAAGTGATTAACATAAGATTATTTGCTGGGACTGCAAGGGCAAACCATCTTTTGCTGGGACTGCAAGGGCAAACCATCTCCATCATCTTAATCTTGTAGCTTATGTCAATGCAAACTAGCTTAGTTTTATCTGGCTTCCAAAGATATTACTCAATTCGACGATTGTAAAGGGAAAAAAATTCAATGAATGGTTGGTCCTAAATGATGCGGAATATGGTGCAGTCACCTATATGCTAATATAGAACTTGCAACTTCACACCTTTTTTCTTAAAATTATTGTCAAAAATATAGGAGAAGAATATTATTAAATTGTTGTATCTACATTATTACATAGAGACCCTATTTATAGATACTATAATACAATCCTTTACCAAGTAGGATACTATTTACTATTACCATTTCTATTACTATTACTATTCCTATTCCTATTCCTATTCTAACTAGGATTGTATATACCTATTCTTATTCTAACACTCCCCCTCAAGCTAGTGCATACAAGTCATATGTGCATAGCTTGTTACAAATGTAATTAATACGAGGACAGATGAGGGGCTTGGGGAGATATCTTCAAGTTGATCACTTGTCTTCACAAAATTGACAGTCAATCTCAACGTGCTTAGTCTTCTCATGAAATACTGGATTTGATGCATAATGCTAGTCAATCTCAATTTGTTTGGTCTTCTCATGAAATGCTGGATTTGATGCATAATGTTGATAAAACACAGAGTAATAAATTCTTGAATTGCAGTGTTGAACTTCCCAAATCAAGCTTGAGAAGATTGTTTCAAACCATAGAGTGACTTACACAATAGACATACAAGGCTACCAGACCCCCCCTTAGCAACAAAACCAGGTGGTTGCTCCATACAGACTTCTTCCTCAAGATCACCTCTTTTTCTTTTTTGTGTAAATCATAAAACTGGCTGAAAAATGCCCATGCGCCAGACTACTAGATTTGATGGCTAAAAGTGGCCACAATTTGAGAAATAAATTATATGGGTAGGGTTGGAATAATGACACGACCCTACTGAGAAATAGAAATTATATAGGAAAGGTTGGATTGACGGCACGACCCTATTGAAAAAGAGAAATAATATGGGTAGGGTCGGAATGATGGCACGACCCTACTAAAAAAGAGAAACTATATGGGTAGGGTCGGAATGATGGCACAACCCTACGCAAATCAAATTTGAAGAGTCACCAAAAAGACGAATGGCACTACACAAATCAAATCTGAGTCACCAAAAAGACACATAGTGCTATACAACTCAGACATGAGAAAGTAGTTCAGACAAATCCACGATACTATGCAAATTAAATATGAAAAGTAGTCTGGAGAGATGCACAGTGCTACGCAAATTAGATACGAAAAAAAAAATAACCACCGAAAGGATGGCGCGATGCTACACAAATTTGTTAAATTAGGTCTTAGACCTAACTCACACCCCAAAAGCTAGCTCAAAGGGAGGAGGATTGCCCAAGCCTTATAAGAAGTCCACCCATCTCATTAACCACCGATGTGGGACTTTTGTCATTCTTTAACACCCCACCTCACGCCCAGTGCTTAGCATCTGGTGCATGGGCAATTTTGATTTTGGGGGCCCCAACATCGGGTGAGACGGGCCCTGCTCTGATACCATGTTAAATTAGGTCTTAGACCTAACTCACACCCCAAAAGCTAGCTCAAAGGGAGGAAGATTGCCCAAGCCTTATAAGAAGTCCACCCATCTCATTAACCACCGATGTGGGACTTTTGTCATTCTTTAACAAAATTAAATATGAAAAAGTAGTCACCAGAAGGATGGCACAGTGCCTACATAAATTAAATATGAAAAAGTAGTCACCAGAAAGATAACACAGTGCTACAGAAATACTGATGGATATGGGGATGACACAAAACAATCGTAGATAGTCACTAGAAATTGATGCACAGTGACCGGTCTAACCGAGTTTTCTTCCCCTGAATATGGGGTTCATGCATATATTATTGGCCCTACTTTTGGTAACATAATCATTGGCCAGACGGACGGCATATATGGGTCATAGCCGCCCGTCAGCAGCAGAAGCTCTTTGATTCTCTACCAAGATCGTAGAAGCGCTGATACCATGTGAGAAATACAGGAGAAGAATATTAATGAATTGTTATATCTACATTATTACATAGAGACCCTATTTATAGACATTAATACAATCCTTTACCAAGTAGGATACTATTTACTATTCCTATTTCTATTACTATTTCTATTCCTATTCTTTTTTTCTTTTCTTTTTTTGATAACTGAGAAATCCGTCTATGACCCGCCCTTTGGACCAATCACAGCCTTCTAAACTCGGTGGATAATGGACCCGCCCCTTACCCTTCTCCACTTAAGTACCGGGCTTCGCTTTGCATGGTGTATGGCTTGAACCTGCAACCTAAGCCACAAATCCTCCACCTTTTGCCACTTGAGCTAGGCCTTGGGGGCTTCTATTCCTATCCTTAGTAGGATTGTATATACATATTCTTATTCTAACAATTATAATCAAGAAAGTTTTTTGGTCTTCCCTCACAGATACAAAATCCGCGAGAAGCCGTTGTTTTTTTAAAAACATAAATCAAATGGAGTGACCATAACCACTTTTTATTAAAAAGAAACAGAAACCATGGTCCAAAAGAAACAAGGATTAGGCCCAAAACACAAGCCCAATCCAAAAATAAAAAAACAAACACAAAGTCAAACAAAATCAGATAAAGCCTCCATTAGGAAAGTAGACAAACCATCACTTCCAATATAGAACCTTTCGGCAACTAAGAATGCCGATGGAAGATTCAAACAAAAACAAATGGTCACTGTGAGAAATATAAGGAAAGAATATTATTGAATTGTTGTTGTAATAATTACATAGAGAGCCCTATTTATAGACACTATATAATACAATTCCTTACCAAATAGGAGATTATAAACTATTCCTAGTTTGTGTAGGATTGTGTTTTCCTATTCTATTCTAACACTCCCCCTCAAGCTGGTGCACACAAATTATATGTACCTAGCTTGTTACGAATGTAATTAATACGAGGACCGATAAGAGACTTGGTGAAGATATCTGCAAGTTGATCATTTGACTTCACAAATTTGGTAACAATATCTCCTAAGAGTATCTTTTCTCTTACTAAGTGACAATCAATCTCAATGTGCTTAGTCCTCTCATGAAACACTGGATTTGATGCGATATGAAGGGCCACTTGATTATCACACACAAGTTCCATATGACCGGTTTCTCCAAACTTCAGTTCTCCAAGCAACTGTTTGATCCAAACTAGCTCACAAGTTGCTACAGCCATTGCTCGATATTCTGCTTCTGCACTGGATTGAGCAACCACACTTTGTTTCTTACTCTTCCATGACACCAAATTACCTCCAACTAAAACACAATATCTGGATGTAGAACTTCTATCAAAGGGTGATCCTGCCCAATCAGCGTCTGTATATCCGGTGATATGCTCATGGCCTTGATCCTCGAAAAGTAGTCCTTTACCAGAAGCTGACTTTATATATCGCAGAATACGAACAACTGCATCCCAATGGCTATCACAAGGAGAAGTTATAAACTGACTTACAACACTCACAGGAAAAGAGATGTCCGGTCTAGTCACAGTGAGGTAATTCAACTTTCCAACCAACCGTCTATACCTTTTAGGATTACTGAGTTGCTCCCCCTGTCCTGGAAGGAGTTTAACATTCGGATCCATAAGAGTGTCAATGGGTTTACATCCCATCATTCCTGTCTCCTCAAGAATGTCTAAAGCATACTTGAGTTGAGAAATAACAATACCTGATCTAGACTGAGCAACCTCAATACCAAGAAAATACTTCAATCTGCCAAGGTCTTTAGTTTGAAAATGCTGAAAGAGATACTGCTTTAAATTAGCGATACCAACTTGATCATTGCCGGTGATAACGATATCATCAACGTAAACAACCAAATAAATACACAGATTTGGTGTTGAATGCCGATAAAACACAGAGTGATCAGCGCCACTACGAGTCATGCCAAACTTCTGAATTACTGTGCTGAACTTTCCAAACTAAGCTCGAGGAGATTGTTTCAGACCATATAGTGACCGACGCAATCGACATACAAGGCTTCTAGACTCCCCCTGAGCAACAAAACCAGGTGGTTGCTCCATATAGACTTCTTCCTCAAGATCACCATGCAGAAAAGCATTCTTAATGTCTAACTGATGAAGAGGCCAATGACGAACGGCAGCCATAGATAGAAAAAGACGGACTGATGCTATTTTGGCCACAGGAGCAAAAGTGTCACTATAATCTAGCCCAAATATCTGAGTATACCCTTTAGCAACAAGGCAACCCTTAAGCCGATCGACTTGACCATCTGGACCAATTTTGACCGCATAAACCCAACGACAACCAACAGTAGACTTACCTGTAGGAAGGGAGACAAGCTCCCAAGTACCACTCGAA